GGGCGAGTTGCAAGCCGGGGCGGGCGGCGGCGGCCCGGGACAGGGCCAGGACAAGCGCGGAGGAAAAGGCGCGCGGGCGCTTTAAATGCTGGGGGCTGAGCTCCCGCCGGGGCGCCCGCACACGCCGCCGGAGCCAGCAGCCCTCCTCCCCTCCCTCCCCGGTCTCCGCTTGTTGCTCAGCCCCGGCTGCAGGCAGGCGCCGGAGCCCGGCCCGAGAGCCGCCAACAGGTGCCCGGGCCGGCTCCCGCCCCGCTCCGCCCTGCAGCCGGGAGGGGCATGGGGAACCAGGTGGAGAAGCTGACCCACCTGAGCTACAAGGAGGTGCCCACGGCGGACCCGGCGGGCGCGGAGCGCGACGACGGGCCCCGCATCGGCGTCTCCTACATCTTCTCCACCGACGACGAGGAGCTGGAGCCGGGGCAGGAGGCGGGCGGCGGCGGCGGCGAGCAGCAGCCCTACGACCCGCGGCTGCACGAGCTGGAGTGCTCCGTCTACTACCGCGACGAGTGCATCTACCACAAGGGCTTCTCGCCGCCGGACGCCGCCGACCTGAGCACCTACAGCGCCGAGCACCTGCTCAGCCGCTGCCAGCCGGGCGACCTGGTGGAGTTCGTGTGCCCGGCGCAGTACCCGCACTGGGCCGTGTACGTGGGCGACTTCCAGGTGGTGCACCTGCAGCGCCTCGAGGTGCTTAGCAGCTTCCTGACGGACGCCAGCCAGGGCCGGCGGGGCCGCATCGCCAACGCGCTGTACCGCTACCCCGCGCTCAGCCCCGCCGCCGTGGTGCGCAACGCGCTGGAGCAGGTGGGCTGCAAGGAGCGCGAGCTGAGCTGGCGCAACTCCGAGTGCTTCGCCGCCTGGTGCCGCTACGGCCGGCGCGAGTTCAAAATCGGCGGCGAGCTCCGCATCGGCAAGCAGCCCTACCGCCTGCACCTGCGCCTGGGCCAGCGCCGCGCGCACACGCTCGAGTTCCAGAGCCTGGAGGACCTCATCATGGAGAAGCGCCGCAACGACCAGCTCGGCCGCGCCGCCGTCCTGCAGGAGCTGGCCGCCCACCTGCAGGCCGCCGAGGAGGACGGCGAGGAGGAGGAGGAGGAGGAGGGCGGCAAGCAGTAGCCCCCCGGGGCCGCCGGCGGATGCGAGGGTGCCGGCCGCGCTGGCTGAGGGCGGAACTCGGGGAGACGCGGCCCCTTGCTCCGAAGCGTCGGCGCGGGCTTTTCAGGTGCGCCCCGGCATGACTTCCACCCGTCTGGCGCTGCTGCGTGGCACCCACGGCTCAGGTGCCGGCCAGGCTTAGTGCTCGCTGGTGCTGTTTTCACCTCCCAGACAGGCCTGGTGCTGCCTGGCACTATTTCCACCTGCCAGTGACGTCCGGCACTGCACGGCGCCCACGATTTTAAGGTGACGGCCAGGTCCGGTGCAACCTGGTGCCCACGGGTTTCAGGTGCCAGGCAGGTCTCGTGCTCCCTGGCACTGTTTTCACCTCCCAGTCAGGCCTGGGTGCTGCCTGGCATCCACCGTCTTCAGGTGCCAGCCAGGTCTGGTGGGACCTGATGCCTCCGCTTTTTAGGTGGCAGCCAGGCCTGGGGCTCCCTGGCACTATTTCCACCTGCCAGTGAGGTCTGGCACTACATGGCGCCTATGATTTTAAGGTGACAGCCAGGTCTGGTGCAACCTGGTGCCCATGGTTTTCAGGTGCCAGCTAGGCCTAGTGCTTCCTGGCACTGTTTTCACTTTCCAGTTGGGCCTGGCACTCCCCGGCATCCACAGTTTTCAGGTGCCAGCCAGGTCTGGCGCTACCCAGCGCCCACTGTCTTCAAGTGCTGCTCGCTTCAGTGGGAGCTGAGGCCAACCAGCACTTAAACAGGAGCCAGCACCTGGCAAGATGCAGGCTTGTAGTGTGCACGGGCAGGATTCATTGTTGTCACTGGCAGTGCGTTGATTTTTTTTTTTTTTTTTTTTTTTTTTCTTCCCTTTCCCCCCTCTCTCTCCTCTTTTTTGTAGTTGAGTTCCTACTGATATCATGGCAACGGTCTCCTGACTTGGCGGGAGACCTTTGTGGCTTCCCATCCTCAAAGGGATGCATAACTGTGAAGGTGAAATGGGGTTTGATGCATCCAATAATGCCCTATTTGAGGGAGACTCCCTTCCTCTCTGTATGGTTGGCTTTTAAGTACAGTAGGACTGGTGAATTGCCCTGAAGGGGTGAGGGAGAAAATCCAGCAAGCCTGGATGTAATCGGGACTCTAACTTGTGCAGTGTGATGTGTTTAAATGCCAGTGCTCATGATGCCCTTGATCTCGCTCTAGTGAAGTTAGTTGGTTTCTGCGGGAGCAGGATTTGGGGCCTGGAAGCCGGTCCTCAGCTACCTTAATGTGTTCAGAGAAGTTCGAGTGGTGAGGGGTGGTTTTATGTTCTGGCCAAACTCCAGAGGCTCCAGCTGGTCTGAACGCTGCATTTGGTCTGTTTTAATGCTGTAGTGTGCATGGGAGTTTGCAGAAGCTTTTAATCATCAGGAATACAACCTATGTGAGATCCCACTGGCGTGGATGTATGGGCCAGTGGTTAACTGGTAAATCTCAAATGGTGAGATCAAGGGGGCCTTCTACAAAGGTTTCAAAGCAGAGCTAAATCAGGAAATATTTGGGAGGGGAAAAGCCCCATGTTTAGGGCAAGGGAAGGAAATAAGTTCTCAGACTGGGAAGTGCATTCAAACCTGGGGAAATTCTGTTTTCTCTCACTACAAGTAAATCCCTAATGAGGAATCAGTTCGAAGTTCTGCTTTTCCCCTTAAGTTTTCATGGTACAGAGCTGAGCAGAGGAAAGAGGAAGTAGTCATCTTTTGTGTGACCCACCTTTAAAGTGGCTTGAGTAGCCTGTCAACTAAATAAATGTATGTGGAGGGCAAGGTTTCACCTGCCTCTCGCACTTCCTACCTACTTCTACATAGAGCAGTTTCTTTTGAACTCTTATCTCCACTCCTCCCTCTCATTCGGGTTCACAGTAATACCAGATCTTCATTGCAAGAGTCTAAATATTTTTTGGTATATGCTGCTTCTGTGGACTGTTAATATGTTCTTCCACCCCCACCCTTTAAACCCATGGCTTTAGAAGCCAGCTTGAGGATGAGCTGGAGTTCATTTATGGAGTGGAAATTAATAGTTTGAAGGAAACTTACAGTGTAATTAAGCAGTGTATTAAAAGTAATTGTTTTCCCTGCAGTTGTTTACTCTGCTGCTTGCAGCATAGCTGTACACAGCAATCTCTGTTTCTCAAGATTAGGGAGAGAAGTCTGTCAATCACAAATAAGCAAATACCCACTTTGAATAATTAAGACTATATAAAGTAGCTTTCATGTGTATGAAAAGAAAATGGGATCCAGATAGATTTCCATTATTGAGACTCTTAAGCCCTGCCTTCCAAAAGAAAATACTTTTGTGTTAGGAAGAAACTTATTTATGGGGGGTGGGGTGTAGCTCTTTAGGGTTACACAAAGCACACTGTACCTTTTTCCCCTTAAATTTCCATGTTTTATTTTTGGTTTTGGAATGCTTAGCTTCTAAGGAGAATTTAACATAAAGCTCCCTTTATAATGCTGGAGCTCAGGCTTCTGTACTGATGATTTTTTTTTCCTGAATATGCAGTTGAGTCATACTCCAGTTATTGTGATCATTAAGCACACACGCTACACTGCTCAAAAAGCATGAGAATTAGCCACATCTTAACTGCGATAAGGTTAACATGTGGCTGTCAGCACACTTTTACTAACTCTGCCACCATTAAAGTGTGTAAGGCTGAACCTGTCACTGATGCTTTCCTAAACAAGACTGAAGGGAAGCATTTTGATCTATCAAGTTTATTTCAGAAGGAATAAGATGGAACTAGGATTAAATCAAGACCACAAACACATGTTTCGCTGCTGTTCCTTGTAGTCCTGAAATCTTTTTCATAACAAATATTATTTCGCTATGTAATATATGGATGTAAAATAATATTTTCTTACACCTATTTTTGGAAGCTTAAAAATAATTCCATCATAAGAATCTTACATTTTTGAAAGTAAGCTGTTATGCACATTATTTTGGATGGATTTATTTTTGTCATTGGTGATCTAAAGTATATGCTAGGTCATACAATGTAGGAACAGCTACAGATGTCAAGTATTATGTATCTACAGGGTACTGAACAGTAAGTTAGTTGTGAAAATATATTCCTCCCCCCCCCCCCCCCCCCTTTTTTTT